TAACCCTTTAGCCTCAAAAAAATAAAAAAGGTTACCGAGGGGGAATATAGTAGATGCTTATAAAATCATCAGCGATAAGGTGAAGGTGAATAGAATGTTTTTTCCACTGTCTCTTCTAGCACTAGAACTAGAAAATGAATCTAGCAAGTGGTGATTCAAAAATGAGTACAAGAAAGTGGTTCTTCACCTGAAATGCAATTAAGCTGTGGAACTTGTTGGCACTCCTGGCACTGGATGCTGTAAATTTTACACAGACTCAAAAAGCAACCAGAAAAAGTCATGAAAGAAAAGTTCCTCCAGGACTACTGAATACAAATAAGTCACCTCTGGCTCAGGAAACCCCTGGGCTACAACATGCTGGAAGCAGGAAGAGAACTTGAGGGAGCAAAACTACATGATTGCACTGTTCTTGCCTTATCCCTTCACCATCCACGATTTGAGATAAAACAGACCACTGAAGTCACACAGTATGGTCTGTGCTTACATATTATTTTCTAGAGCTGTTTATTGAATACCTCTTGATAAAAATAGCTGATCTGTGGAGATAAGCCACCTTCACCTGACATCTGGCTGATCTGGTGTTATGGTTTGAAAAACCCACAACAATTTATTGTTGTTTAGACAATCATTCTATCACCTGATGACCTCTTCCCATCCAGGAAGGGGAATCAGGGAAAAACAAGGAAACGTGGGTTGAAATATATATAGATTTAATAGGATAAGACTAAATAATTAAGATCAATAACATTAAAGAACCAGTATTTATCCCAATACCAGTATAAAACATACAAGGATTATACTCAGCCCATTCCATCAGTAGGAAGCTGTGCACTCCCAGCAGAGGACAGCAAATGTTGGACATTGCAAGCGCTATGGCTTCAGTAGGAAGGGAATGCCTCAGGGGTTTGGTATTGTGGCAAGAAGTTCTCTGGATTGCTGCCATCAAGGGAGAGAGAGAACTTTGCAGCAAACTTTCTAATTTATATTGAATGTGACGTTCATGTTATGAAATAACTCTGTTGGACAGCTTGGGTCAAGTGCCTGGGTCTTGCTTCTCCTCATCCCTGCACCTGGCAAGCTTGAAAACACTGAGACCTTGGAATCCACATACCATAGCTGGCTATGAAGTAAATATTTTCACAAATTCAGACACTAGAGTCTTCTAAAAGTGCGGTTTCCCCAAGCATTAGAAGAGAAATTAGTCCTGTGTCGCTCAAACCAGGACATCTGGGTACATGTGTTACAGCAGGTCATGATTTCCTACAGTGTCTCAGTCTCACTCACTTTATCTCAGTCAAGATGAAGGTCTCACCAGTCTGTTCGGCCCGCAGTCATTGCAGGGTTTTGGCTCTAGCAAAAACTGGCATGCCCTCCTTGAGATTTTTTGAGGCATTTAATCATTTCACTTGAAACCAGCAACATTCTTGCACATTTGCCTTGTCTTGCTGGATTATTTTATACTTTAAAATTATGCAAGTCTTCACACAAAGTCTTCATCCACCAAGAAGGATGAAAGCCACTCAGATAGAGCTTGACAAGCCAGTAGAAGTTCCTCTAAGAAGCCTGTCTTGGTGGTGGACCTGCCCAACAACACAAAAGGGTGAGCAAATCAAATCATAGAATGTTTTAGGTTGGAAGGGACCTTGAAGATCATCGAGTTCCAGCCCCCCTGCCATGGGCAGGGACACCTCCCACTAGACCAGGTTACTCAAAGCCCCATCCAACCTGGCCTTGAACACTTCCAGGGATGGGGAATCCACAACTTCTCTGGGCAATCTGTTCCAGTGTCTCACCACCATCACAGTGGAAAATTTCTTCCTAATATCTAATCTAAATCTACTCTCTTTCAGTTTAAAACCATTACCCCTTGTCCTATCACTACACTCCCTGATAAATAGTCTCTCCCCATCTTTCCTGTAGGCCCCCTTAGGCACTGGAAGGCTGCTATAAGGTCTCCCTGGAACCTTCTCCTGCCTAGGCTGAATAACCCCAACTCTCCAACTCTCTCAACTCTCAACTCCAGCCCTCTGATCATCTTCGTGGCCCTCCTATGGACCCACTCCAACAGGCCCATGTCCTTCTTATGTAGGGGGGGCCCAGAGCTGGACACAACACTCCAGGTGGGGTCTCATGAGAGCAGAGAACAGGGGCAGAATCACCTCCCTCGACCTGTCAGCCAGGCTTCTTTTGATGAAGCCCAGGGTACAGTTGGCTTTCCGGGCTTCAAGCACATCTTGCTTGGTCATGTTGAGCTTCTCATCAACCAATACCCCCAGGTCCTTCTCCTCAGGGCTAGTCTCAATCCATTCTCCTCCCAGCCTATATTTGTGCTTGGGATTGCCCTAACCCATGTGCAGGACCTTGCGCTTGACCTTGTTGAACTTCATGAGGTTTGCACAGGCCCACCTCTCAAACCTGTCAAGGTCCCTCTGGTTGGCATCCTTTCCCTCCAGTATGCTGACCACGCCACACAGCTTGGTGTTGTCAGCAACCTTGCTGAGGGTGCCCTCAATCCCAGCATCCATGTCACCAACAAAGATGTTAAACAGCTCCAGTCTCAATACCAACCCCTGAGGAACACCATTCATCACTGGTCTCCACTGGGACATTGAGCCACTGATCACAACTCTTTGAGTGCAGCCAGCCAACCAGTTCCTTATCCTCTGAGTGGTCCATCCGTCAAATCTGTGTCTCTGCAATTTAGAGAGCAGAATGTTGTGTGGGGACCGTGTCAAATGTTTTGCACAAGTCTAGGTAGATGATGTCAGTTGCTCTTCCCTTATCCAGCAATGCTGTAACCCCATCATAGAAGGCCACTGAATTTGCCAGAGACAGTTTGCCCTTTCTGAAGCCCTGTTGGCTGTCACTGATCATCTCCTTATTTTCCACGTGCCTTAGCATAGTTTCCAGGAGGATCTGCTCCATGATCTTGCTGGGCAGAGAGGTGAGACTGACCGGCCCTGAGTCTTCCATTTTTCCCTTTTCAAAAATGGGGGTTATGTTTCCCCTTTTCCAGTCAGTGGGAACTTCACCAGAGCAATTGATATCTGTCTGCTCTCTTGTATTAGACTTCCACTTTCATCCTTTAACATATTGTTGCCAGAATTAATCTTTTCCCACCTGTGAGGTTAGCATGTGCTGCTTCTGTTTTTAATAGATACTCCCTCTAGATCTGTACATTGCCCTACAATGCCATCCAGAAGGTATGACGTGCTTGTCGTGCCTGTCAAGTTGCTGAGCAGCTTCCTGTTACAGTAATATCAACCTTATGTAAAGATTTCCTCTAGACAGAAAATTCTATTTTCCTTTTGAGGTAAATCACACTGTATGTGGGCTCTGTGAAGGATTCCCTATCCAACCCCTGCAAACAGCAATGGGGAATTCTGTCATACTTACCACCCCCTGCTCCACTGTGACAGCTTTGAGAGTGCATGCCTAGCTTTAGGATCATAGAATAATTAAGGCTGTCTCTAGCCCAAACTCCTACTCACAGCAGGATCAGATGAGGTTACCCTGGACTTATAAAGTCTGGTCTTGAAAACCTCCAAGGATGGAAACTCCGTAACTTCGCTGGGATACCTGTTGCAACACCTGACTGTTCTCACAGTGAAAACATTTTTCCCAGTCTGAATATCTATTGCTTCAATTTATGCCCATTGCCTCTTGTCCCCCTGCCTTGCCCCACTGTGAACAGATAACTCTGTCCTCTTCCAGTAACCACCTTGAAGGTATAGGGAGGCTGCTGTTATGGCTCCTGGAGCCTTCTCTTCTCCTTCTGAACAAGCCCAGTTCCCTCAGCATCTCCTCACAGGGCAAGTGCTCCAGCCCTCAGATCTTTCTGGTGGCCTTCCACTGGACTTACTAGAGTTGATCAATGTTTGGCAAGGCAGTGCTACCATTAGTATGAAGAATGGCTGTCAGTCTCACACCACTTCTGAGTAACAGGTATATTTGTCCACATGAATCCCATGGCCCTTCCTGCTTTACCATGTTCTCCCTTACCTGGCTGTGCTGCTCTGCGTTTGTGGGACATGGGCTGTTTCATGCTTTAATGGTGGTGTAAGCAGGAAAATGATCTGAGGACATCCAATCCAAAGGAACGGTATGAATGTGAGCAATGTAAGGAACTCCAACTAGCTAGGACTCAGGTTAGCGTGGACTGTTTCACTTAGGAAAAGGAGCTAGGGTGGAGTCAAGCCTAACTGTGGTATCATTCTTTTTATCTGCAATGCATGTACAAAGTCCTGGTTCTCTGATATAAAACAATATTATGCAGTTTTTATTTTAAGTTTCTTTGAGTCAACATTTTCCCCTCAAAATGCTTGCTCTCTTCTTTTTCTTTCTCTCTCTCTCTTTTTCTGGAGCTGCCTTGACTACTTTCCCTGTGTGCTCTTGTGCTATCCCTTTCTTGTATACATGTGCTCTCAGCAGTGATCAAAGCAATGTGCATATTCTGGGGTTGAGCGGTAAATGAATCTGTACAACAATTACCTTCTCTGTGCTCTTGCTTCTTCTGCCATGTAGTTACTCACTTTTCTACTGTCCATTTTTCTTAGCCTTTTGGTTTCTTTGAGTTCTTGCAGCAGAAACCATCATGGTGGGATTTTGAGCTTTCAAGAGATTTCCCCCTCTAACTTAAACTCTACTGTCTTGGTCTTCCACTCTGACCAGGAATTGTGCTGATATTCAACAACTGGCAATGACCCTCCGTCACATCAGCATCGCCATAACCACTGGAAAGAATTGATGAACTAGAGGCAGAAGCTGACTCTAAGTGACTACGTTACCATCCCGGACAGATGACCACTGACCAGCAACCCAAAGCAGTACCTGTCAAGAGAGAGATGTGCCCATCCACCTCCCAGCTGCAAATGAGGGGAATTACCTGCCGGCGGCTTCCTAGAGGGGAATGACTTCTTTCAGTGCTTTTCTTTGTGCCTCCTTAGCCCACCAGCAGGCTCAATCATCTCAGCAAGACTCTCCCCTGATTCCCGCTGGGCATGTCAGCTTCCAATGCATCTCAGACATGCAAGGATTACAGCTTCAACCACCACCTCCTCCTGCCTGGCTACATCCTGATATTCATTACAGGTCTGTTGCTGAACGTGATGGCCCTATGGATATTCATCCGCTACCTGCGCCTCAAGTCTGTGGTGATGATCTACATGTTCAACCTGGCCGTGAGCGACCTCACCTTCACACTCCCTCTGCCACTGCGACTCTACTACTATTCCAACCACCACTGGCCCTTTGGTAACACCCTGTGCCAGGTCTCTGGCTCTGTTTTCCAAATCAACATGTATGGCAGCTGCCTGTTCCTCATGTGCATCAACCTGGATCGCTATGTTGCCATTGTCCACCCACTTCGCTGGCGGCATCTGCGGCGCCCCAAGGTGGCTAAGCTCCTTTGCCTGATCGTCTGGGTTGTCATCTTCATGGGCTCCATCCCCACAGCAATAGTCCACAAGCAAAACGACTGTGAGGCACAGAACCAGACCATTCAGACCATTTACGTGTGTTTTGAAAGCTTTAGTGACGACATATGGCAGAATAACCTCTTCCCCCTAGTTGTCCTGGCTGAAATCTTGGGGTTTCTCCTGCCTCTCAGCTCTGTAACATACTGCTCGATTCGGATCTTTCAGGAGCTCTGTCAGAACAGCCAGACAAAGACCCTGCGACAGAAGAAGACTGTCCGTCTCCTCTTGGCCAATCTGGTCATCTTCATCATCTGCTTTGTGCCCTACAACACTACCCTGGCAGTTTATGGGATGATAAAGGCCCGGGTGATGAAAGTTGAGGAAGGAACACAGGCCTCCGTGCGCCAAGTGTTAATTACAACAATGTTGTTGGCCAGCATGAACTGCATGCTGGACCCCTTGATCTACTACTTTAGTACCGAGGGTTTCCGTAACACCTTTAAGAAACTGCGGCGGGGACAAGCCTGGGACTCAGACATAGGGACACTTAAGAATCAGGTTGTGGAGAGTAAGTCAACCCGAAACCATGCTGCCTCAAAAGTGAAGCAGTTCCCAGCTAAAAACTTTATCCGTCCCAATGAATCTTTGCCATCACTTCCCACTGCAGTATTTTTGAATGGCCCTATTGAGGACTCAGAAATATAACCACAGAAAGGTCATACCATTGCTGAGTCACCCATTCAATAATTACAGCAAGACTGTGGAAAACAGCTCAAGGTAACTTAGCAAACTGTTTGAGGGAGCCCAGCAGAATGTATGTGGGTGATCATGATGATACAAAGCTGAAGGATGAAAGGTTATTTTAAATAAACAGAGGTGTCTTGGTGACATGGTCCTACCTGACTCTTTTGGTACAGGAAACATAGTGGGGAACAAGAACTTGAAACAAACCTGGTGTGTCTAGGTCTGGTCAGCACAGATTCCTATAGCAAGTCCATCCTGCCCGAGCACCTCCTGGCTGCACTGGAGCATGAAGCAGTTATGGGGATAATCAGAACACACATACGGTACTCACTGCTGACAGGGTGAATTTAGTAGTAATGTCTGAGGGAAACTTTGTTGTTTTCTTAACTAGATGCTTCAATTTGAGTCTTAAGTCCAGCTTGGGGCACCTAAGTAAGTGTCTTAATTTTCCAAAAGACTTGAAGCGTTTAGCAACCCTTGCTGGGGTGAAGGAGAATAGCTGAGTGTTTAGTACTCTTGCAGAAAATAGGTTCCTAACCGTACAGTAAGTCACAGACCTTAGCAAAACAATCTTTAGGAGGTATATCAAATGTGCTTGTGCCGCTGTACACACACACATGCAGCACAATGGCTATACATTTACCTAAAGCAAAATGGCTTGGAAAACACTAGCATACTTAAAAATACACCCAGCATTCATAATGGCCCAAGAAAAAAAAGAGAGGATACCAATACTGTTGTCGTTTCTGAAGCTCACATTGACATCGGTGCTTTGCACTTTCCTGTCACTCGGGCATAGGGTGATTGCTTTCAGGTCTGAGTGATTTTCACTGTTAAAAAGAAATGATGTTGCAGAATGAGGCTGCAGTGAAAAATATTTGCTTGCACAGTTTGTACATGTTTTTTCAGCCTGCACTGTACACAAAAGCCCTATAAATCTCCCCAGAAGCAAGAGATCCAGCTGTACACAGACAGTGCCAGAAACCCCAGTTATTCACTGCTGCTGGCGACCGAGGGTTGCCTTTCCGCTTGCATTGGGAAACAGCCTCCCTGCGGCTTCCAGGAGGACTCAGGCTACCCCCAGAGTGGGTCCATTAGGGTACATTTGAATTTGGGGAGGAAATTTTAAAGGAATAGTAAGGGAAAGTGACAAGAAACGCTGTTCAGAGTAAAGTGCTGGTTCTTAGACATCTAAATTAGCAATGAATCTTATTTCAAGTCCCTACCTCATGACTGCTGTGGGAATAAATGTATTGTAATGCATCATGGTTTTGTGTTACAATACAGTTTAGGAGACACAGGGCTCAAATCCATCTTTCCAGTCTCCCTTGAAGACTTGCTTTCTACTACAGGTGACTGCAGAAGCAGGTCTACACGAAGAGCCTCTCTGCGGAGAGATGCGTGTGTCACCAACTGCCTTAAAAGACCTATGCCCTAGGTAGGCCAGCTCCGTCCCCTTTCTCAGCCTGTGCATCACCAGCAGACCAGCCTTGAAACATGTCTGCCGATGAAGGACATTTAACGTTGTCTGAGAGATGCAGTGAGAGAGGTGGAGGAGGGCCTGCGGGGCAGTAGGTATTTCTGGTTTGAAAATTCAGGACTGCCATGTGAACGTGAATCATTTGTGACATAGTATAGTGCAGCTGGAGAGGAAACAGAGCTGTGTGCATACCTGCTGCTAGGATCCGATGTTACCCTTTTGTTCTGGGCTTTACAGGGTAGTGGAGTGATATTACAGCAACCACACTGCTGTCCATTTCCACGTCTTCCTCCATCTTCCTTTTTCATGCACCCAAGCACCAACACAATGTCTTCACAGCTACATCTTCTTCCCTGCCCAGAGAAATTGATTTATTCTTTCCTTTTAACTTGGCTAGAGTATTGTCACAGATTCACAGAAAGATTTGGGTGGGAAGGGACTTCTGGAGGTCTTTACCCCAACCCATTGCTCACAGCAGGTCGCTGGGGGCAGTGAGGGCCAGATGCTCCCCAAAGGGAGGGCAGCTGAGGGCCAGGCGCGGGAACAAGGCAGGCAGAGGAAGGGGCTTCCCCACCAAGGGGAGGCACCCGCGCAAGGTGAGCAAGGCAGGTACAGCGATAATAGCTGGGTTCAGCTGAGAATCCAGATCACCAGACAAGCCTGTGGTGACGAGGCAGGTCCAAGGTCAAATTAAGAGTTGTCAGCATCAGGATCAGGTCTGGAGGCAGTAACCAGGGTGAGGCATAGTCCAGCCATTGCCAGACAAGTCCATCGCGACAAGGCAGGTCTCGGGTGAAGCCAGGAAGCCTATCAATGGGTTCAGAGCAGTACAGTGCATGGTCAGGCACAGGCGAGACTGCTCAGGCAAGAACCAAGGGCAAAAGCATCAGCAGCTCCTGGGGCAGGGGTTCAGCCCTGGCTAAGGCTCCAGCAGAGATTTCTGAAAAGTCTCCCCAGAGCCACCAGAGGGAAGGGGTAGCCCTCAGCCGCACTGTCTCTGACCTGGCCCCAAGCTCACACAGCCAAAGCCCCAGGAGCAGGGAGGATGCACGCAGGACGCTGAGCTAGTTCAGGTCGCTCAGGGCCTCATCCAGCTGTCTTCTGAAGCACCTTCAAGGATGGAGATTCCTCAGCCTCTTGGGGCACCCACACCAGTGCTGAAACATACCCTGGGGAGAGGCTTTTCCTGATGCCCAACAGGAATCTCCCTTGTTGCAAGTCATGGCTGTCGCCTCTTGTGCTTTCTCAGGCCCACTGCAAGCAGACTCTGGCTCCATCTTCCCTGGGAAAGTTTGCCAAGTATGAATGAAATGTCGGGTGGCAGACACCACTCTTTTGGAAGAGGCTGCTCCTCTGCCAAAGATACAGTATCGCACCCAAAACACAACACAGAACTTCTCAAAAAGAACATGAGAAAGCATCGTCTTTTCTTATAGTTTCATTCCTGAAAATAGCAGAACTATTTTTACCTGGAACATTTTATAAATATTCCACCTCCAGCAGAGGAAATTTTAGCTCAAATATTTTGACAAAATTATAAATAACTGAAAAGCCAATCTCTTAATGGATCTCATCAACCAGTTTAACAATAAAGGGGGCTGCTGGTCATGATACATGCAGCAAAAAAGTTCCTGACTTAGGATGTCTCAAAGCTTTCCTTGATTGTTATATATAGGCAATGATGTGCCCCATGTGGGCTGCTGGGTTTTGTCCTTTGGGTTTTAAATCTTTTTCAGCTTGCATCAGTTTTGTGTCATTTTTTGAAGATGCTAGTCAAACTTAATCGCTTTGGATTCCGGAGAGGATTTTGGTTATTCTTCATGTCTGCCGGAGAGAATCAGTGTTAGCTAGGTCTTCTGCTTCTGCGGTTTTGCCTTTATTAGCCTGATTTTTTTATTCCATCACATGGTGATAAAGAAGAGAACATGCATGTACTGTCTCTCAGTGAAATGAGTCACTCGGGCTATCATGCTTTATAGCTTCTATTTAATGACTATGTATAAAAAAGCCAAACAAGCAAATCTGAAAGTCCTAGGGTACGATGGTGTCTAACAATACCACTTGCTACCAAACGGAACCACTTTAAAACATGCGTTTAAAACAACAGGAACAAACTACGTGAAGCAATGGTATTCAAGAAAGGGAAGATAAATGGAAATATAAGCTCAGCAAAGCCTTTTCAACCTGTATAATTGACCCTCTATGTCCTACTGTGATAATTCTTGAGTTAGTATTCTTGCTAAGTATGCCAGGGGTAAAAGATGCCATTCATTGCTCCCCTGCACTTTGTGTCATGCACAGATGTGACCATTAACCAGATGTCTTCTTATCAAGTAAGACTGAACAAGTGAAAGGTCAGAGAGGTGGCAAAAGAGCACAGAAAACTTATTCTATATAGATTGGACAGGGTATCTGCAAAAATGCATAAATACATTAGGATTTCAAGTATTTTGACTTCCATAACAATGCCAGTCACCTCCGGAAACGGTTCTTTATTTGGATGATAAAGAAACATACTGTTATGACGATTAGTTGTGATCTTAAATGTATTTTACTCTTGCTAGAAATCCACTGACACTCTGGGTTCTGTAAGTAAGCTTGAAAAGATGTTTCACAAGTCCCAGAACAAGCCAGACAATCTTTGAATTGTTTTTATTACTGCTTGTGTTCCTTCTGCCACGTACTGGCTGTATGCCTCCCACCACTTGATGTATCCCTCCAACAAAACATGTATTTTGTATTACAAACGCCCTGAGCAACTTAAGCTGTGCCTGCTTTGAGCTTGAGAGGTTATTCCCCCCAGCCGCCCCCTCCCGCCCCGCTCTGCTCCCTCCCAGTCGCTAGGAGTTCAAACAGATGTCCTCCAGAGGTCCTTCCAACCTAAATAATTGTATGATTCTCTGACCTTGTGTTTTAGATGCTGATCTGGGCTCCTCTCAAGCATTTTTCAGCTTCTTCATAATCATTCCCTCTTAGAGTTGTTCTCGCTTGGATTACACTTTGCATGCCCTGTCTGCCTTCCAGCTGCAGACAGAGTCCTTGATCCTGTGCCTGAGAGCGGTTAGTCTCAGCTTCGCACTTCACGAGTTTCTTTTGAAGCCTTTCTTTCAAACTCTCGCATTCTGCAATGCTAACAGAATCTGTGGCAGAGGCCACATTGCTGCTGTACATCCTCCTGACCAAAATAATTTCAGGGTTTCCTCGCGGTTTCCCATGTTTCCATGCATGGATCATTTTTTTGTTGGGCTGACGTAGCACCTTGCACAGTGAGAGACAGGTCTCTGAGGGCTCCCAGACAAAATAAGAAGAAATAGCGTAATATCACTAAAGAACCTGCTATGTTGCTAATTTTGTTTGAGGGAAAATGGAAAATAAGGATGTGCTAAAGCCAGACATAGCTAACACTGCTTTAACCTATTTCACCCAGATGGTAACAGTGACAAGGCAGTGGTGATGGAGTCTTCCATGCCAGCTGTAAAAC